GCTAGAGAGCGTCAACATTGGCATACGAGTTCATTGTATTGCTCTTATTTCGTTGGTATCTTGGTGCATTGTGCTCTCTGCTTGGTACATGACTACCTGGACTGCTTCGTGATTTTGCAACTTGGATTTCTGTCTATCGCTCTCGCTCATATTCCTTGCACTAACCACGAAGAGGAAAAATTTACTGCCTCTAAAAAGACTGTCAATGGAAAGGGACCGAAGAAGAATTCAGGGAGGAACTATATTCAACTTCCCAAGGGAGCCAAAATCACAACGAAACCGGAGAATGGAACAACCAAACCTTAGGTTGCCCTCTGGATCATTGAAAATGATTGGAGGGTTAAGCTCAAGAAAGGGGGTTGCCTGCATTGCCAGAAACCACACCACAAAGTACAAGATTGTTACAAGCTACACGGAAACGAGAATCAGTCATAGAGATGGCATCAACACCCTCTACAACAAGGGAGACTGTCAAGTACGTAAAAGTTTAGTGAATCAACAGTCCTCTCTTGAAGCCCCATCGTCCGCTGATTCCAAGGCTGATGCGTATAATGTTGTCTATGTTGAGCCTTGGAAGGAGTCCGAGATTGTTAACTTCCACTACCACCTAGAGCATTGGGCTGAGATGAAACATTACCGTGTTCAAGAGGAAAAGGAGTAATTCTTCTTAAAACTCCTCATCAACCACCGCTACCTTCGTGTCTGGGTTGATTGTGGCGTGACTACTGTCTCCACACGTGGTACGCAAGGTGGGCTTGGGAATGAAGCAAGTGGAGTTGCAGGCCCCTTGTCAGACCCAAGATGCAACAAAGAAGTTGTATCCTCCATGCATGTGGTCAAAGGTGTGCACACTACCTTTGACAAAGATAAGGCTGTCACACATGCACTCAACTTCTGTGTACTTCACAAGTGCCCTTTTGACACAGTCCTTGGGGTTAAGCTGGCTACCGTCCCAATGAAAGTGGACTGAGTGGAACGTTGATCATTTTGTGGTGCATGATACTTCGGGGAATGAACGGTGCATGATACTTCGTGGAACGTTGATCAATGCAATGCAATTCTACAAGAAGTGGTGCGAGCATAAGGAGGAAGAGCTTGTTGCTTTTGTTCATCTTACTCATGCGCCTTCTACTTTGCGGCTAGTATTAATTCTACTTCGTCTGTTGTGCCTACTTCTAGTATTTCTGCTTTTCCATCCATTTGTAGTCCAAATGATTCTACTTCAGATTTAGTTGCCTTCACTACTAATCTGTGGCCTGATATAGGTGATCCTTATTCTGATCCCCCACCCCCAAAAATCCCACGAAACATCCAAAGCTTCCTCAACCGATTTCCAGAAGTTATGGCCGGACCGCGTGGATTCCCCACGTGATCGGTCAAACACACGATTGAGCTGGTCGACGGCGCAGTTCCTCCGAAGGGCTATGTGTACTGTATGGGATCCGAGTTGAAGGCAAATTGATGAGATGATTGACAAAGGGTGGATCAAGCCAAGCGAATCTGAATTCGGTGCACCTGTTTGTTTGTCCCAAAGAAAGGAGGTAAGCTCCGAATGTGTGTTGATTACCTCGGTCTAAACTGCATCACAAGAAAAAATGCATATCCATTGCCACGCATCAATGGCCTGCTTGATGCTGCAGGTGGGTGCAAGGTCTTCTCCAAGATCGATCTCAAGTCTGGCTACCACTGGATTCAGGTCAATCCTGCGGACTAGCACAAGACCGCATTCAAGACGCGCAATGGGCTGTGCGAATTTACCGTCATGCCCTTCGGCCTCACGAATGCGCAAGCCACCGTGCGGTTGGAGCGCTTGGCGGAGCAGCGAGGGAGCTAGCAGCGCTGCTGGGACTAGGAAGGGGGAGGAAGAAGGAACTAGGAAGGGGGAGCGCCAGGGGTACTTACCTGGCTGTGGTGGATGCCATCTTCATCACCTTGGTGGGCGCTGCATCTGGAAGGCCCCCGTTGGGGTAGAGCGACATCAAGAAGCTTCGAGACAGAGCCAGACATGGCGGCCTGAGATGAAGCAGCCATAGCTGCTTTGAGTTGTCTCACATCGGGGCAAGGCCCTAGTAGTCTGCCATAGCCTCGGCCTCAGTGAGGTGGAAGAACAAGGGTGGCCATGGCTATGGTGGACCTCATGCTGTACCTGCAGCAGAAGAGGGATTCGGACATTGATTCTAGTTCAGCCATTCAACTTATTATTATTATTTATTGTGAAATAAAGAGGGGAGGAGAAAAGGAGGAGGAGAGTGGTTGGTGAGAAGAAGGGAATTATCGTTGGTCTTTGCTGGTGTACATCTTCTTTGTCTTATTCTTTCCCTCTCTCTCCTCTCAACTTCATTCATTTCTTTTGCAATTGGACGGCATTGTGCTTTCTCATGAATTTGTACTTCGAAATTGGCCAGGATCATAACAGCTATATCTCTAGGAGGAGCAAAGAGATCCTCCTCATTTGCTGCATGCAAGTTTGGAGCCACGCTGCTGCAGCACCCAATTCTCAACCTTGGCGATGGTGGAGGAGCTCGGGTAGGAGGAGGAGGAGGAAGGGGACTAGGAGAGGGGAGCGCCAGGGGTACTTACCTGGGTATGGTGTACGCCATCTTCATCATCTTGGTGGGCACTGCATCTGGGAAGCCCCCGTTGGAGTAGAGCTGCATCAAGAAGCTTCGAGGCAGAGTCAGGCATGGCGGCCTGAGAGGAAGAGGTGTGTTGTCTTTTGCACATCAGGGCAAAGCTCTTAGTAGCCTTGGCCTGGATGAAGAGGAGAGAGAAGGGCTGCCATGGCTATGGTGGACCTCTTGTTGTGATGGCGGTAGAGGGATGCGGACATTGATTCTTGGGTTCAGCCATTCATCATCATCATCATTATTATTATTATTATTTATTGTTTGAATAAGACAGGTGCAGAAACAGAGGAGGAATTGGTTGGCGACAAGAAGAGGGAATTAGCATTGGTCTTTTGCCTGTGTACATCCTCTTCTTCTTCTTCTTTCCCTCTCTCTCCTCTCAAGCTCATTCATTTCTTTTTGCAAGGAATATGAGTGTGAGCGATATACATAAAACCAAGTTGCGAAATCACACAGCTGAGCAAGTAGTAGTATCCCAAGTAGAGAGTACAAATGCACCGAGAAAACCATCCATAAAGAGCAATACAATGAAGTATTGAGCCAATGTCCAAGCCCGTAGGCCACACCAACACAGTTTCCAGAGTTGCTCTCTCTGTCTGGCGCACAGCGCCCAGCCTACTCGACCACACTATCCTACTCTACAGCTGGTTCACACAACAGGATCACTTCGGCTCACGAAGACCAATGTACATGACTGTCCACACCATCGGCGACCTCTCTTCATGCACCAGGTACGTATCTCGACACCCTCAATCAGACCTTGATTATCCCACACAGCGCCTCACTCCCTGAAGACCACTCGATCATCCGCTGTACCCCCTGGCGCCTAGCAGCCCGACTATGGCTGCCTGCGCCCCGCTGCCCTGCAGCACCCCACTCACCACCTAGCGCTCCGGCAGCGCCCCTGGCATTAGCGCAGCATCAAGCAGAAGCGCAACAGCACTTCCGCATTGCCAGCGCTGGCCAGAATGCCTGGCCTCAGCTGCCTCACTTCCTTTATGGAAGTGTCAGCCTGCTTGATGCTGCGTGTGGCCTGGCTGGAAGCTTCCAGTAGCTTCCGGTTGGGCCTCAGACCCTGTGCCCAGGCCCAAGACTTACAGTTGAGGGCCTGGGCCCTTTTCAGTTGGGCACGGCCTGAGTCTTCCAGACTTGGGCTGTTTGCGGCATCTGTGCAGGGTCCCCGGGCAGGTGCATTGGCAGTACTGCTTTTGCAAAGGCCGAAGGCCTGCTTCTCAATTTATCGGCCCTGCTTTGTGTACGTGTGCCCACGTGCAACTGTCAAGGCCTGGGCCAACTGTATGCCGCAGAGTTGTTAGGCTCACGCGTCTTCCCAACCAACTGGCGTGCTACGAGAGCCTGAATACCCCCATATGGAAATGTGGAATTCTGCCTTTGACGAATATTCAGGCCCGCCTTCACTTAGGGCGGGCACTTGGCTTGTTGGGGGCCTTAGCCCAGGACAATGTGATGTCTGATAGGGCCACTTGAGGGCTCGTTCCTCACATTTTGCAACTGGACGGAATTGTACTAACTCAAGAATTTGCACTGAAAGATTGGCCAGGATCGTAACAACAACCAAAAATAGATCGTTGTGCTCCAAGCTCAAATCCTGTTTTGGAAGGAGAACACATTGTCTTCACACCCGGGTGCACTGGAAGATTGGCCAGGATTGTAATAACAACCAAAAATAGATCGTTGTGCTCCAAGCTCAAATCCTGTTTTGGAAGGAGAACACATTATCTTCACACCAGGGACACCTGCCCAGGTTAAACAGCTATTATTGTTAGGAAAGTGCTGGCAAAAAAAGAAAAGAAAAAAAAAAAAGAAAACAGAAATAGAATGGAGCCTTGAGCCCATGGTTACGCCGGACCCAGACACCCCACCAGCCCAGACGTCCAGCCGGACCTGTGTCTGGTGGACTGCTCCAGACCGTCCAGATTGAGAACCCCCCTTCCCTTTATTTAAAAAAAAACGTTTTTATATTTTTTTCCTAGGATTTGGCTACGAATTTCGAGATGGTCCTCACCCAGAGGATTTTTGTATTCAATGCTCCAAAAAAAATCTTTTTTTCCTTTTTTTTTTTAAGTCGGATTTATTTGGGGATGGGGTTGGGTTGGTTGATCCGGACACCAGACCCGGACATCCAGACCCAGACCGTCAGCACTGCAGTCCGAACGTCCAGATCGTAACCGTGCATGAGCCCCTTTGACCAATACTAACCACATCATCATTTGCCCAACAAAGCAAGAACCAAAAGGAAAAAAAAGCCAAAAATCTAGGGTTAAACACAGCCTTGAACCTAAAGTCTTGCTTTCCTGAAACAAAAGCCAACAGGAACAAAATGAAAATTATGCTGCTTGTCAAGATACTTACCACAAGGCACTGCGGGAAAGTTAAAACGGCCATCTGTGCCCGACAAACCATGACACAACGCATACTTGTAGTTCGCTTGCGGTGGGTTTCCAAGGCCTTGAGGACACTTCACGTTGCCTACATCGTCGGAGAAGAGGTAGATTTGCACACCAAGAACTGGATTGCCCTGCAGAATGCACACAAATCCCACAAAGCCGATCTTCATGAGATGGAGCCTGGATCGCACACATCCCGATATGCTTGATTGTACCCACCCTGGACTACCAAACCATCGTTGTGGCAGTCGGCTTCAGCAGTGGAAGCCATAATCTTCTATCATTCCCATCAGAGTTTACTCGCTTTTTTTTTTCCCCCTTTAACTTTACAAGTGGTGCAGGAGAGGGGCAGGAGGAGACGAAACGATGGAGAAATTACAAAGCAGGGAAAAAATAAAGTGGCAGCAGTTCCTGTCTGCTCATTGAGGCAAAGAAGATGTCCCTGTACTGCAGAAACAATGAGGTGTGAGGAGTTGTTGAGCATCTATCTGCATATGGATGATGCATTGTCAAGACCAAGTTCAGTTTTTGCCAAAATTTCAATAATATATCCAAGAAAAATAATCGCAGAAGAATGGATGCATGTGTTTATCTTGTGGCATCCCTTTTTATCCTCTCCCCACGCTCTTCTGACTTCACCCCTATCCCATCCATTCTTCAATTCGCTCTGCCATTCCTTCTGTGCAACAAACCCACTCGTTATGCCCTGTTGTTGCCCGAGAGGCACAGGTAGGCTGCGACCCCGGCCTAAGGCCGTGACGACCAGGGGGAAGAAAACCCCCGAAAATGGCTTCAGGGCCTGTGCACCCGACAGTTGAATTCGGTCAACTGCTCAGCGGCCCCTGAGTCAAAGTCTGCATGGACCCAGCTCAGGCCGCCGGTCAGACACACACACTTGTCTGTATGCAGGTACCAAGACAGCATCCGGACCAAGTGGAAGTCTGCAACTGTATGAGATCCGGGCCATTGGCTATGAGTCAGTGGGAGCCACCGTGGGTGAGAGACCAGAGGCAGTCAACCTCGTCAAACGCAACATAAGGCCCTGCCTCCAGGGATTCAACTTTCAGTCTTGCTATGCTGACTTGACGCTGGCTAGACGCTGGCTTGACGCTGGCTTGATGCTGGCTGGACGCTGACTTGCCGCTGGCTTGATGCTGGCTAGATGCTGACAGGACACTGGCTTGATGCTGGCTGTACGCTGGCACGGTGGACGACGACGCGAGACTGCTGCTTGCTTGCTGGCGCCTTCCTGTCTTCGCGCCAGCCTCTGCTGACATGGCGCAAGCCACGCTGTCTTCGACATTGCTGATGTGGCTCATGCCACCCTGTATCCATTGCTGACATGGCATCTGCCATGCTGTCTTCATTGCTGAGTTGGACATGACAAGGAGGGAGATCGGGATCTGTGGATTGATGGAGAGTGAGAGGATACTTACCTGTTGCTAATGCCAATACTGTACGCTGCTGAACGTCTTCACAGGAGAACTGTGCCACGTGGCACTCTGACATGATCAGGCCCTGTCAGGCTCGTTATTGGGCACTGTTGCTGACGTGGAGGCGAGGGGAAATGCTGGGCTACTATCTCTGTGGTCATTGATGGAAACTTACTTTTCCACCCTCTAAACTGTCTATTCCCCTCCTCTCCTCTTCGTCCATTGGTTACGAGACATTGTATCACAGATCACATTCACGATTATTGGAGACATTATTCAGCGCTGAGTTTCGTGTACTTCGACAATTGACGAGTATCCTCCAGACTGGGTTCATTACAATTTGGTATCGGAGCCTACCTTCTTCGTCGCTATCTGCTGTCAGGCGCCAGGTGGCGCCTATGTAAATGGGAGGTGCTGCGCGCGACTGGAAAGAAGCGCGTTTAAAAACGCACACGATTATCATTGCAGGGTAGACATTGACTGCCACGCACGCGCATGCTTCCTTGAAAATGATGACGTGGACCAGCTGAAGAGAAGACGGCAACATTGCTTATGGGGTGCTTTGTTCTGACGTGGCGATCAGATTTAGGGAGAGAACCGTTGGCTGCGGGCTGACGTGGTGCTGGTAAATCAAGAGAGAGAGAGAGAGAGAGAGAGAGAGAGAGAGAGAGAGAGAGAGAAAGGGATATCGGGACTGCTGAGGTGGCGCCCTGCCTACGTGGCACAGCGCAAGGGTGCTGACGTGGCATCCAAGGGTCAGCAGGGTATTGTCTGACGTGGCACGTACCTCTGTTGCGATTTACCTGATGACTTGGCGCTCCACACTCCAGTGGTACCTTCGATCTAACGTGGCATACCAGTGTTGAATGATCTGGCAGACGACCCTTTCTGACGTGGCACCCTTTCTGGAGGCCTACTGCCATTGATGTGGCAACTCTGCGGAGGTGCTGCGTTGGCATGCCAGGTTGACACGTGGCAGGACTGTGCACTGCCGTGGGTGAGGAGTTGATACTTGGACTTGTGTGCTGGCGGGCGGTACAGCATTACGATTTGGCTGTAATGCCACGCGTCGGCCCTTGGGTCTGGCCGCATTGGTATCTGCAGATGGTGCAGCCGAAGAGGAAAGGATGCTGACATATTGATTGACTGTTGTGTTGGTGGACTCAACTCACTTGTCTTGGCTGTTCTGTGGATGCTGTGCATACTCACCTGTATTGTTGTGTCTTGATCACAATGGCCATGCCTGCGGTACCTGTACACTCTCGTTAGGACGCCATCACATAGAATAGACAGCAGAAGTTAGAAGTAGAAATAATTGAAATCTGTTCCTTACTTATTTTTGTTTATTTATTTCTTGCTGTAGGGAAATTTAACTGAGTGTGGCCGTGGAATTGATTATTGTCTTGTAATTATTCATTGTGGCATTCACACACTGGGGACCATGACTTACCTCTGGAAATATTCGAGGGCCTCCATCTTGATGAGATATATCCCTCTAACACTGCCGTGCCGATGCTGGAAACCGGTAGACGAGTTGAAGAACTCATCAAGAATGGGCGATTAGCCCTAGGTCGCTACGTCGCCAAGCATCTAAAAGCAATGGGCCGAAAGAGAACAACTGAAGGAGGAGGAGGAGAGTCTGAAGAAGAGCCTAATCTGTCAAAAGAAATTATGGAGGGAAATATCAAACAGTTGGAAGAAACATTGAAGGAAGAAAGAAAGATGGAAGAATACCAGAGGAAGAGAAGAGAAAGAGAACAACAAGAAAAGAAGATTGATGAAATCCGGGAGCGATTTTCAGTTTGAAGGAACAGAAACCGATCTTGCATCCGTTTTGAACACCATGATGACTTACCTTGCCTATCTTGAGATGAAGATAGATAGCAACACCGCCGCATTGTAGACGGTGACCAGACAATTAAGGGAAAAGACAAGGTGGTCGTCGAGGAAGAGCCCAAGGGGGGAGAAGAAAAGAAAGAACCCCAAGAGAAACTAATGAAGGATGCAATGACAAGAGTGACGTCGGGTTTCCAAGGGGGGAGAAGAAAAGAAAGAACCCCAAGAGAAACTGGATGCAATGAAAAGAGTGACGTCGGGTTTCCAAGGGGGGAGAAGAAAAGAAAGAACCCCAAGAGAAACTAATGAAGGATGCAATGAAAAGAGTGACGTCGGAGAAACCCGAGAGCTCTAAGAAAGAACTTTAGAAACCGGCGGAAAAGATAGAAGAGCCCGCTACGAAGGAGCCGGCCAAGGAAGTAGAGAAGCCGAAAAGGAAAGAAAAAGTAAAGATGAAACTTGCTTTTACCTATAATGTAAAGCGAGGAAAACACTTGCTACTTTGGATAGCGAAAATCCAGATATACTGTGGAACTGCACCGGTCGAGCCAGAAAGCCAAATGGCTTTCAGTACCTCATGTCTGGGGGAGGTAGCAAAGAAATGGGTGTTGTCTGAAGCCATCGCTGCTGGCCTCAAAGGTTTTGGTGAGTGGGACAAAACATTGACCCTCAAGGTGTTGTCTGAAGCCAGCGCAGAGAGACTTCTGGACAAAACAACGGTTGACAAGGCCTTTGAAGAGCTCACTATCATAGCAAAAGCGCTGGACGACTATCGGCGCCTTGTCTCGAGAAGTTGATCACTTGTTGCGGGTACTTGGTCTAAACCTGCAGGATGATCAAGTTTTGTACATCTTCTAACGGTCATTGTCGGAACCCATTCGAGGACATCTCATCCCGAAGCGAAATCTGGTGAGTACAATTACAGACAATTTTGCGACCTCGCGCTCCAAAGGGAGCAAATGACAGCACAAGTAAAAGGAACCTATGCATCTGCGGCAAAGAATGGTCCGGTTGGTGGATATGGGAAGCGTGTCCTGTGGCGGCAAAAGCAACAGGATCACATGCTTGTCGTCTTTGACGACGATACAACTTGAGAGTTAAGGACACTTCTTCGTGTGTTGTTGGAGAAGTTGCCCCTTGACGAGGTCGAGGGTAGAGTTATTGGCGGCAGTGAGTCAGGAAAGGGTGACGTCATTGTCGTGGTGGCCAACAAGGGTGGCACCACTTCAAACTGGAACAAGACGAAGAGACCACGCTCCTTTCCCAAGCACACCAACATTGCAGGCGGCAAGCCTTGAGAAAAGATGGGAATGGCATGAGACCAATGGCAAGACCGGATGAACAACAGGTAGTGCCTCCAGTGTGAAACTGTTGGGCATATAATTGGATGGTGCCCACTCATTCGAAACCCAAAAGCGAGCAGGCGGTAGGAGTAGCATCTGCTCCTATTAAGTTGGGAGTTTTAGTTGAAGGTAAGGCGCTGATCACCCCTTTCAACCCCCCGACTCATACGGCAAAGGATGGCTCTTCTTCAGCCCGTTGTCAAGAACACCCTGACATTGTTTTATGCTCGCTCTCTGTGGACGATTCCTTTGTCGAACTTGGAAATGAACTCATAGCTTTAAGAAGTTTGTGGGCTAAGAAAGCAAAGTCTAAGGGTGAGTTAATGATCACAGACATTGAGATTGCACATACGCAAGTACGTGCTCTGTTAGACCCAGGATCGACACGGTCCTATATTTCATAAGAGGCAATTCGCAAGTCGCGTCTAGGAATGAAGATAAAGTACCTATCTAGACCTATCACGCCTATGTTGGCTGACAAGAACACGATCACAGTCTCTCAATATGTCGATCGTGTGA